CTAGCCCTTGGATGTCCTGTGTCATTGTGAGCGATAGATTGTTGCGAGTTTACCTGGCTATTGAAATCTAAGCCAGAAAGGGGGGCAGTTTCTCCCCTCTCCTCATCAAAGTCGAGATTCCAATTTGGTGGAACAGAACCAGGGTCGGTGAATACAACAGAAAAGTAGCTCCATAAAAGCATAACAAGCTACAATGAGAAATAAACTAATTAGTGTCAAAAGCAAATATGCGGGAAAAAATTGAAACGGTGCGAAAATGTTTAATATTACAGGGCTAATGTTTATAGTCAACTATTCTTCGCATCCAATTTTTGAGTTAATATTGTGATTCTTAATCATTATAGCATCAATATTGCATTTTGTTCACCTCATTTTGCACTTTCCTTTCTTAACTTCTCAGTACAATCCATCCGCATTTCAACAATGTGGGTAGTGTATATCAGGAAACATCTAATATGTTGTCAAGAAGCATGATAGGAAAATAAATACTAGACCATGGACATAACAGCTCAATTGTCCGAACATGTATCCAGCTCACTCGTAGCCACTCCTACTTAGTACAAAAAATCTGAGGAAATACAACGAGGGCTACTTAGTACTGATTGGTATCAGGGCTACTTAGTACTAATTGGTATCAAAATAAAGGTGGAAAAAAACAAAATCAAAACAGTGCGAATATGTCCAATATAACGGGGGCTAGTATTTATAATCAACTATTTCGGGCAAGGAAACTTCAGTTAACATTGCGGTTCTCTAATCAATATAGCATCAACATTGCATTTTATCAACTCATTCTGCCGCTTTTTTATCCTTAAATCTATCACTGCAACCCATATCCATTTCAACAATGTAGCAAGCATACATCATAGGCAAATCATGTATTTTGTCCAGAAACATATATTAGGAAAATAATTACTTATACCATGGCAACAACAGATCAATTTATCGGCAAATCCAGTATTTTGTACAGAAGCATATATTAGGCAAACAATTACTAGATCACGGTCGCTATAGATCAATTTATCCAAATCAGTATCCAGCCTGCATATAGCCACTCCAACCAAGTACCCCAAAAAAAAACAACCAACACAGATAACAAAATTTTCGACCTGTATCCTAACATTGCTCCAAAAACACTCAATCTCTCGTCTACTTGCGAGATTCGACCCAACCAGCTAATCGTTTTCACCGTTTTTGACACCCAAACCCCCCCCCCCCCCCCTTAAGAGTTCGAGCCAATAGTTACCAGGAAGTGGAAGAGGAGCAGGACGACGAGCGCGAGGAGGGTGCTGGCGCCGCCGGCGAAGAGCGCGGGGCCGTAGTTGTACACCACGACCGCGTAGTAGGTGACCCCGACGATGGAGAGGACGAGCAGGATCATGATGGAGCCCAGCCCCCTCAGCGCAGTGCAGAACCTGAACACGTTCCACGCCATCGTGGCGCCCGCGGATCTGTGCATCTCTCCCCACCTCCCCCGCCCGCGCAGCAGCAGCAGCCGACGCACGCCTCCGCCGCCCTGCGGCTCCCCGCTGGCGAGGGGATTAGGGAAGAAGGCGCCGCCGCCGCCGCCGCGCTTCGCCGGCGAGGGGGATTAGGGAAGAAGGATTTGGAGATGGAAGAAGACAGGGGAATGGCAAAGGTTAGAGGTGGAGTACGCGGGCGGTCAGGTCGTCTTCTCTCAGCTCCGCGTTTTTACTTTGAAAAAGAAATCGCACAAAAAAGATCGTTTAGAGGGATTTCTAGATGAACCATAAAAGAAAATTGAAACTAAATTAAAATTGTTGGGTAAGGGTTAACTGAAAATAGTCAAATTTGTTCAAATCGGAATCGGTTAGAACTTAGGATTATCTGATTATGATTCGGTGAGGTTTCAGTACCAAACTTTTTTTTTAAAAAAAAGACATATGACTATATGAGTGGGTATTTTATGGAAACCGTTTGGCTATGCCGGTGCCGCCGGCGCTCGTAGGATGGAGATCGGTGCAGATGGTGAATTCAAATTCGAGACAAAAGTGTGATGGAAGCGGAATAATATACCCGCATCATTGCTGGTGGTAGGATGGAGATTGATGCGCGCAGCGAGCGAGGAGACGGGAGTCGAGGTTGAGAGGATGGGGAAGGTCGATTGGGTGGCTAGGGTGGTGACATGGGTCAACAGGTCCGTTGGTGGAAAAAGTCCCATTTGTATCCCTCGATGATTCTTTATAGTAACTCTGGTTAACAATACCTTGTTGAAAATGTAAAAAGTTCGGTCAATAGTTACTCCTTACAGACTACCGGCTCCTACTCCAACAGTCCAACCATACTTTGAGTTGTAGAACTGTTCTTGTGTAATTGTGTTTTTCTTTTAGCTAGGTGATATTGTCCAACTATCTTGTGGTTAGTATTAATCCATCATTCACACTAGAATTAAAAAGGATTTTTTTTATTTGCACGTTTCCCAAGATACATTTTATGCAAAAAAAAATCCTATATATCTATTATATTATTAAAAAGCCTTAAAATGAGGTACCACGTTCGCTGTGTGGGCTATAAATTCCCACATTAATCGGAGAAAAAGAAAAAAAAAGGAGAGTCCAAGTAAAAATACAATCTAAAAATAGCTGAAATTCGGAATTAAAAATAAGCAATATTGAAAGAAGTTTCCATATAAGAACTCAATACGAGATTAATTAAAATTAGAAATAAAAATAAAATAAAATAAAATCCAAAATTAGAAAAGGAAAGGAGAATCCAAGTAGAAATACAATTTAAAAATAGCTGAAATTCGGAATTAAAAATAAGCAATATTGAAAGAAGTTTCCATATAAGAATCCAATACTAGATTAATCAAAATTCGAAATAAAAATAAAATAAAATCTAATATTAGAAAAGAAAATGAGAGTCCAAGTAGGAATACAATTTAAAAATAGCTGAAATTCAGAATTAAAAATAAGAAATATTAAAATAAGAGTCCATGTCAGAACCTAATACGAGATTAATTAAAATTCGGAATAAAAATAAATAAATCCAAAATTAGCAAAAGAAAATAAAAGAAGAGTTCAAGTAGGAATACAATTTAAATTTGGCTGAAATTCGGAATTAAAAATAAGAAATATTGAAAGAAGAATCCATATAAGAACCCAATACGAGATTAATTAAAATTTAGAATAAAAAATAAAATAATATCCAAAATTAGAAAAAATAAAAGAGAGTTCAAGGAATACAATTTTGAAACAACTGAAATTGAAAATAAAAAATAAAAAACATTAAAAGAACACAATACGGTATTAACTATTTTTTAAAAAAGATGAAATTAGAAAAAGAAAAATAAGATTTCAATTAGGAATACAATTTATAAATAACTAAAATTTGTGATAAAAATAAATATTATTGAAAGAAAAGACCATCTAAAACACATGACGAGATAAATTAAGTAACATGCCTATAAAGGAGTAGAGTGGTGGCGGTTGATACGACATATAAAAATTGTTAATAAAACACCAAATAGAATCCTAATGACGATTAAAAGGAGAAACGTCAGGCAGGCCGTGAAGCAAACGAGTAAAGCAGTTGCCAAGACTTCTAGAAAGTTAAAAAAAAAAACCCCATTGATAATCATATTCGATTTTAAAATCTTAATGACAATAAAAAGGAGAAGCAGCAGGCTGAGTGTATAAGAGTATAGTTGCAGAGCCTGTAACTATAGAAAATAAAAAATGAATTCCAACGATAGTTATGTTTAATTTTTAGAATCACAATGATAATAAAGAGTAGGCGGCATACGGGTTGTAGAGGGGCATAGTGGCATCGTTTGATGGGACTTCTAAAAATTATAAAAGAATGAAACTACAAGTCCAATTTTTAAAGGTTCGGAACTTCTAAAAGTAAAAAAAAACCTATGATAATCATGTTCGATTTTAAAATCTCAATGACAATAAAGAAAGGAGGCAAAGGGCGAGCCGTAGAGGAGTACAATGGCAAAGCCGCTAATGGTTTGGCGGGACTTCTAGAAACTAAAAATGAACCCAAACGATAATTATGTTCGATTTTTAAATTCTCAATGACAATAAAGAGAAGAGACAGTGGACGGGCCGCAGAGGAGTATAATGACAACATTTGACGGGACTCTAGAAGTTATAAAAATGAAACCCAACGTGACAATAAACTCTAAAAACTGTAAAATCCGATTTTTAAAGCTTTCAAGAAGAATAAATAGAAAATAGTGGTAGATCGAGCAAGCAAATAAAGAAGGAGATGACATAAGAGGTAGCAACCGGTGTGACTTTTAAAAACTATATAATTAGAAACACGAGGATGATAAGGTTTGGTCTTTCAAAGTCTTAAGACAACGAGATATCTATTCAATAAATTTAAGTAAAATCATACTTAAAAAATAATATGATTTTGTTTGGGTGCTAGCCGCGCAATTGCGCGGGCCACCCAGCTAGTTTCTGAAAAAACAAAGAAATTTAGTTTTCAAATATTCTACGAAAAGTTTTTAGATAATCTTTGACCCTCCACGTGTTAAAAAAATTAAAAATAAACATAAACTACCTACTCACTTCTTTCGTTAAAAGTATATTTTTAAAAAATAAATCTCATCACTAAAAATTCTATTTTATGATCGTTATGTTCTACTCCCTCCGTTTTTTAATACATGACGCCGTTGATTTTTTCTCACATGTTTGACCATTCGTCTTATTTAAAAAATTTACGTAATTATAATTTATTTTGTTATGAGTTGTTTTATCACTCATAGTACTTTAAGTGTGATTTATATCTTATACATTTGCATAAAATTTTTGAATAAGACGAATGGTCAAACATGTAAGAAAAAGTCAACGGCGTCATCTATTAAAAAACGAAGTTAGTATAATATAAAAGATTTTAAAGAGATATAATATAATCATATAATATAAAAGATTTTAAAGGGATATATGGACGGAGGGAGTAGTACCGGTCTACTCCCAGTCTCCAGAGACATTCCAAGAACAACCATATGTCTTTCTTCCTTTCGCAACCGTCCAACTCAACTCCTCATTATTCCACGTACCCAAAGAAAAACATCCCCCACCCAAAAAAAAAAAAAATCCGCGCAGCTGCAAAGGCGAGCGGAGCTCTCAATCGAGCAGCGGTTCCACTTCTAGAAGCTTCTTAATCACGCGGGAGGAAGGAGAGGGGAAGCCGGCGGCGGCGGCGGCGGTGGGGTTCGCCTGCGCGCGGCGATGTCGTCCGCCAAGTCGACGAGGTCGCGCCCAGCCGGGCACTCCGGCGTGCTGCCGGTGAACGCTACGGCCGGAGGCGGCGACGGCGGGGTGCCTCTCGCCGACAAGATGAAGATCTTCAAGACCGACAACTTCGACCCCGACGCGTACGTGCAGTCCAAGTGCCACGCCATGAACGAGAAGGTAAAGGGATTGGTCCACTCGTGAAACGGGGAGGAAACTGGAGTGGTAGAATTTTGGTCGGAAGTTCACACGCGCTTTTGCTGTTCTGTGTTCGAGAGGTGTGAGGGATACGGTGTCGGGAGTTTCCCAGTGCATTTGAACTAGCGAAAGTGTGAATTGAGCGTTATTAGGATTGTTTCCCTTAGAGGGAAAACGGTGGTTGCATGGAACTAGATATGTTTATTGTGTTTGATTTTTTTCATGTTCAGATACTAGTTATGAAACAGGTTTTTTTTACTCTGATGCGGAGAAATACTGATTCTGGCCAGTACTGACAAATTTCTGGTTGCGCTGCATGCTTGCGTAGTTGAATTGAGGTCGAATTAAGTTTGTCAATAACCTTGAATTTGCATTTGTCTGGAGCTTGGAGGGAGCACTGAAGTAGAGTGCTGTTAGTTTGTTAGTTTTATGTTATCTTCTAGAGAAGTGACCACATGTAGATTTACACATATTTGCAAAGAACCGGAGTTTGTACTATATTATGGCGGCTCTGGTGATGAAATGAATCGTACGCAAATTTTGTAAGGGTTCTTTTTTTGTTTTAGAAAGTTGGCGTTTATTGTATATGAGATAAATGGTTGCCTTTAAATTGCTTTTACCTATTGTTTTGTGCGGGAGACCACTTGTGCTCATGGTTGTCAAAGGATTTGGGTAGCAACGAATGGATGATCCTACACTTCTACCTTTTCTGCATGAGTTATGCTCACTTAAGACCTATTTTGCAGTTGTGCCGTATCATGCATGTGTGCATTTTCTGAGGCTTCAAATGTTGAGTTTCCTTTGCATGCTCCCTGTGTGTGTTTTAGAGCTTGAACTATTACTTTAGTAAAAGGCACATCATGCTTGGAAAATCTAACAGGATTGATGCTCAAAAACTGTGACAGGAAATAAGACACCTCTGTTCTTATCTGCAAGACCTAAAGAAGGCTTCTTCTGAAGAGATGCGTAGAAGTGTTTATGCGAATTATGCTGCATTCATAAGGTGTGAACACAATTGTTGAAATTTTAATCTAACCCAAGGGAGTATATCCCTGGACTCAGAGTATCGTGTCTGATTATTCTCCAATTTTTATTCTTTTTGTTTCTCTAAAATGAGTATGCCTGCTAGCTTTGTTTATTGCTAATCTTTGGCATCTCAACCGCTGCGCACTCCATACAAGTTCATAAAATTTTGAATTAGTATTTTGTAAGAATCACAATCCAAAGAATTATTGAAAAAAGAAAGGTAGGCAGCGGATTTGTCGTTTCTGCAAAATTATATGCAGATGTCATAAAACTTGTGGGATGCAAAATCATAATTGTATTTTTTTTTCACATCTGGTATTTCTCTGTTTTTCTTAGTTACTTCCTGGGATTGTTCTCTGTTTTATCCAGTTCATAACTTTCGGATAAAATGTTGATAACTCAATCTCCTGGTTTTCAGAACATCAAAGGAGATATCAGACCTTGAAAGGGAGCTGCTATCTGTCAGAAATCTGCTAAGTACACAGTCAGCTCTAATTCGTGGTCTATCTGAAGGGGTTCATATTGATTCCTTGACTACAGGGTCTGAAGGCTCTGCAGAAGAGGGGACAGATGAAGACCAGGAGCCCTCAGAAATACAAAACTGGTGCACAGATTTCCCTGAGATGCTTGATGTTTTGCTAGCTGAGAGAAGAGTGGATGAAGCATTGGATGCTTTGGATGAAGCAGAACGTGTCGTTGCTGATGAAAAACAGAAACAGACACTCACCACAGCTGACATTCTGGCCGTGAAGAGGGCTATCTCTGATAATCGTCTGAAATTGGCAAATCAGCTAGCAGAAGCTGCTTGCCAGTCTTCTACTCGTGGCGTTGAACTTCGTGCTTCAGCTTCTGCTCTCAAGAGACTCGGTGATGGACCCCGTGCTCATAGTTTGTTGCTTAGTGCACACAACCAGAGGCTTCAATGCAGCATGCAAACTATACATCCGTCTAGCACATCACACAGTGGGGCATACACTGCATCTCTTGCACGGCAAGTTTTTTCTGTTATAGCCCAGGCTCTCAGTGACTCTTTAGAACTGTTTGGTGATGAACCGTCTTATTTGTCTGAACTGATTACATGGGCTACAGAACAAGCAATGTTATTTGCACTACTTGTAAAGAGGCATGCTTTAGCCGCTTGTGTGGCTGCTGGGGGCTTGAGAGCTGCTGCCGAATGTATTCAGATCTCACTTGGTCATTCTTCCTTGCTGGAAACTCGTGGTTTGTCACTTTCGTCTGTTCTGATGAAGCAATTCAAACCCTCTGTTGAGCAAGCACTGGAGTCCAGTTTGAGGAGAATTGAAGAGAGTACTGCTGCTTTAGCTGCAGCTGATGACTGGGTACTCACCTATCCTCCATCTGGTATACGGACGTTTGCTAGATCATCTGCTAGTAGTTTGTTGCTCCAACCTAAGCTCTCAAACAGTGGCCATCGCTTCAGTTCAATGGTTCAGGTAATGTTCTATTGCTTGACAAATGTTTCTAGCCTTTGTAATTGAGGATTTATACATAAAGTTATTCTTTTAATGTTTTACTGTATTATTTTGCAGGATTTCTTTGAGGATGTTGGCCCACTGCATAGCTTGCAGTTAGGTGGTTCTGCAATGGACGGGCTTCTGAAAATATTCAATTCATATGTCAATCTGCTCATAAGTGCTCTGCCACACTCACTGGATGATGAAGCGAATTTGGAAGGTTTAGGAAATAAGATTGTTCGAGTGGCAGAGACTGAGGAGCAGCAGCTAGCATTGTTCGCTAATGCATCCTTACTAGCTGAAGAGTTGCTACCTAGAGCAGCTATGAAGTTGTCGTCTGTAAACCATACTGGTGTGAATGATATTCGTAAAAAAAGTGTAGACAGGCAAAACCGTGTAGCAGAGCAGCGAGAATGGAAAAAGAAGCTGCAACGTATTGTGGATAAACTTAAAGATAGTTTCTGCAGACAGCACGCCCTTGATCTTATATTCACGGAAGATGATGACACCCGTCTGAGTGCAGAAATGTACATCAATATGGATAATACTGTTGAAGAGCCAGAATGGGTTCCATCTCTAATTTTTCAGGTCCGTATAAATTTTTTGCCCTTAACAACTATCTGGATAAACATTACTGCTTATATTTGTTTGAAGAATGAGGTTCATTATGACATTCATCATTGAGGTAGTTCTTCTATGATCTATAAAATATATTGATTTTTAGATGAATTGTTGTAAAATAAGTAAACCAAATTGTTTTTCTGAATCTATGCTCTATAGCACTTCCTTTCTTGTTTATATACATAGAAGACATGAAAAACCGAGGAATGATGCAAGGGTTAGATACATAGAAGGATAAAGTAAATATAGCATGTTTCATGCATGCCCACTTGACATGTACACATTACGTCTTAATCAGCATAAACTTGGTAAAATTGGCCTTGTCGTGTCCTTTTGGCCTTGGTTCGCACACACTAGACAAGTCTTTGCACTAAAACGAGTGTTTGCCAAGTTCATCCACTAGATTGCACCCACCAAACAAGTTCATGTACCACCAATGCAATTCACTCATATGGTAAAGAAGTTGCATTCAGCTTGCAAATAATTTCCTAGTTATTGCTTGTGCTATTATACTGGTATGTCTAGCCCAACATTAACAAGATCAACCAAATTGTAGAACCAACAGTACAGAACTCTGTTTGGTTCCTGATGAGTTGTCACCAAAAATAGATTTTGGCAGCTGGCTGGCTTGCAATTTTGTTCGAAGAAATGCTTTATTTAGAAATTGAAACCAGAAAATTTTGCACTTTGAGAAATATAACAAAGGTACAATTTTGAATTAGATAATAGACTTCAGTATTTTGTCAGGCAGAAATTTTGTTAATGTAAAGCTTAGATGACAACTCATGAAACTTGGGCAGTCATGCTGCTTGCAAATCTACCCAAGAAACTTTAGCCTTTTGTTGCAGCATCTCATATATTGTTGCAGGAATTATATGCAAAGTTAAACAGGATGGCGAGCATTGCTGCAGATTTGTTTGTTGGTAGGGAAAGGTTTGCTACATTCCTACTGATGCGGCTTACAGAAACAGTCATACTGTGGCTATCAGAGGACCAGAGCTTTTGGGAAGAGATTGAAGAGGGGCCAAGGGCTCTGGGTCCCCTTGGACTTCAGCAGGTGAGTTCTTTTTTTCTTGTTTTGATCTTATGACACCAACTATTATTCTTATTTTCACCTTCCTTTTCAGTTCTACCTGGATATGCAATTTGTCATCCTTTCCGGGCGAGGCCGTTTCTTATCTCGGCACGTACATCAAGTGATACTGAAAATCATTGATAGAGCAATGGCAGCATTTTCTGCTACAGGGATGAACCCTGATAGGTATGTTACTATCTATCTGACTTGCATCTATCCTTTTGCGGTTAATAAATCTATTTCAGTCCGACTGTATTTAGTAGGAGGTGCTAATATTAATATCTATGCATGTTATGCTGTAATGGCAATCGGATGCATGCATGTATTTTGCTCCATGTTACAATTGTAATAGATTCCTCACATACCAGAAACTGGCTGGAATAGGCTAGTGATTATGCAATTCCTGGTTTATTCATTTTTTAGATAATAATTCCTGGTTTATTCATAGCTGGAATAGGCTAGTGATTATGCAATTCCTGGTTTATTCATAAAGGTTGGTAACTGAAGATGATATACCCGTTTATTCTCTGCAGTGTCCTTCCAAGCGACGATTGGTTCATCGACGTTGCTAATGACACTATCAGTAGGATCAGTGGCAACCCTCGAACTGCCAATGGGGATAGGGAGGTGAACAGCCCGACAGCCTCCGTTTCAGCGCAATCTATATCGTCGGTCAGATCCCATGGCAGCTCCTAGTGTACATAGTAGCCTTAGTAACCAGGTCTTGTATAGGAGTGAGTGTGAAATAGTTTCTCCATTTCCCTGTTGTATTCTCTCCTTAGGTCTTGTATAGGAGTGAGTATCTCCTAGCTTTGTTCCCCATCTGGTGTACATGCCAGTATATAGACCTCGTTTGGATGGGCCTCAATCCCAGTCCATCCATGTGTATAGGCCAGGATTCTGAACTAAAATCCTGGCCCAAACTCATGGATGGAATGGGATTCTGCATATTCCAAAGGCGGCCTTAGGAAAATATTTGAATTGAATCGGTTGTTCAGAGATGTGTCTTTGTAAATTTGGTGAGAAATGTATGACCCAGTGTAGTTTGTCTTCTTGGAAACATACTGTACCATCTTGATACGCGTAGACTGACTTTGTGCTGATTGTTCATCTGAAAAGAGTATTGTCTTCCAAAGGCTGATGATGAACTCTGAAAAACTGAAGATTCATCTGTACCATAGTAGCCTAGCAACAAGCCAACATGCACTGAACACGCGCTTGCTACCTGCCAACCAATTTGACTTGTGCTTACCTTTCTTCCTACAGTGTGGTCGCTTTCGCCTTTATTTTTTTTAGTGGTGGGTTCGCCCAAGTGCACGGAATTGAGGACTTCGCTTACCATTGGAGAATTTGGTCTTCATTGTTTTTAAAACTTAATTTTGAATTTGATTATTTTTTATTTTTCATCATAGTTTATTTTGAGTTTGCTAATGATATGCATATAAAAGTTTTAGTCACAAATGATCTTTTATTTAGTACTCTCTCCGTTTTATATAAAAAATATCAGCATCTAAAATATCAAATTAGTTTTATTAAATATATTTTAATAATATATTTGTTTTGTGTTTAATATACTACTACATTTTTCTATAGATTTAAAAAGAAGTTTGACTAGTAAAAAAACAAAATGATTTGTATATGAAACGGAGGGAGTAATAAGTGATTCGAATTAACATAAGAATAAGTAAAACAATATGCTCATCTCGCACTCCGTGACCAGGTCTATTCTACCAGACCACATCCTGTCCACGTCACTCGTTAGTCCGTCAACGATGAGGACGATTTACCAATCTCCACTTATCATGCAGCCGTCTAATCGCGATCCGACGGCCAGGATCATCCGACGCGCTGCCCCTTGACAAATCGGACATGGTTGAAAAAGCTTCTCTCACAATCTAGTTTTGATCACATTTTACCAACCACAACTTAAATACTTAACAACTCTCCAATAAAGTAATGATCAAAGCTTGATGATGATTATGCATGGAAATCGCCCGAGGGCCTGTCAATTTCTCACTCTCGCTATAGTTAGCATTTTTTCTTGGATAATCTTTGATATGCTACTTTGATTAATAATATCTATAAAAATTTTAAATAAAAAGTAACTACATGTTACGATAGTTTGTTTAATGATAAATTTAGTAACATCAATTTTATACGATTGATCTTTCTACTTTTCTTGTTATTAATAGTAAAAATTAAAAATGTTTGACTTAATAGTGTTTCTATTTTAGGACGGAAAGAGTACTTATTGATGATCACAATACTAACAGAGCCTTTTATGTATTTAGTGATTTAATGTTTGATCCCTTCAAAGCTTTCACAAAGTTGTCCTTTCCACACGTCCTCCTATATGCACTTATATAGCATTGCATTGGCACCAAAACTATCGACCTCATGTCCTCATCATCATCAATGGAGTGCACCGGAAACATGTCGGCGGCGCCATTGCTCGTCTTGACGGTGGCGGTGCTCGCCGTGCTAGCCTCCACCTGCGCCGCCGACCCAGAGCCGATACAAGACTTCTGCGTGGCCGTGCCCCGTGCCGGCGGCGAGGCGTCGCCGGCATACCCGGGCTTCCCGTGCAAGCCGGCGTCCGCGGTCGTCTCCGACGACTTCTTCTTCGCCGGGCTCGCCGCCGCCGGCAGCACGGACAACCCGTTCGGGGCCAGCCTGAAGCCGGGCAACGTGGAGGCGTTCCCGGCGCTGAACACGCTCGGCGTCGCCATCAACCGCGTCGACCTCGCCCCCGGCGGCGTCAACCCGCTGCACAGCCACCCGCGCGCCGCCGAGCTGGTGCACGTCATCACCGGCCGGATGCTCGTCGGGTTCGTGAGCACGGCGGGGAAGTACTACTCCAAGGTGGTCGGCGAGGGGGAGACGTTCGCCATCCCGCGCGGGCTGATGCACTTCCAGTACAACCCTGGGAACGCCTCCGCCCGCGCCATGACGGTGTTCAACAGCCAGCTCCCCGGCGTCGTGCCCGCCGCGACGGCGCTGTTCGGCGCCGACCCGGAGATCCCCGACGCCGTCCTCGCCAAGAGCTTCCAGGTGGACGCCGAGATCATCAAACTGCTCAAGTCCAAGTTCAAGAAGTGACACTGACGTCTCATCCGCCATGGCTACAGCATATCTGTTTTGCTTTAGCTGTCCTAGATACAGTAAATAGAGTTGTTTCACGTTTGATATTTTGGTCCGATATTTGCCCATTTGGCACATCAATAAAGTAAATTTGAATTGTCCTATACATGCAGCAAATATCGGAAAAAATCACTTAAAGACATCAAATTCTCAACAATTTAGAGAAGAATTTACCAAATGAATTTGACGACAGCACGGCAGCCACGGCTAATTTTGCACCCAACCCTTCACGCATCTTCCCATCTTCCTCCACCATGACGCGGCCGCGGCGGCGCCATGCTTGGTTCTCCGCCGGTGATCGGAATCCTTCCCCTGCCGCGGGCGGCGGCGAGAATCATAAACTGCCTTAGAGTCGCAAACTTGCACGGCGGAGAGATTCGAGGAGGCGGCGAGGAATCATAAACTGCCTTAGAGTCGCAAACTTGCACGGCGGAGAGATTCGAGGAGGAGGAAACGGAGGCGTATCCCGGCGGGGATGAGGAGGCCGCCCATCAGCGCGCGGCGAAGCAGCCATCGACGCCGGCGGAAGGAGAAGCATATGACAGTAACAAATCGGGCTGGGCCTACTTTTGCCAGAAAGTTCAATAGTACGCTGTTCCCCTAAATGGGCCGCAACGAAAATTCCGAAATTGGTGTGCAAGTCAGAATATAGCCTGCGCCCATTTGGAAGTCTGAATCATATACCAATGGAAAAAAGTCTACAGTTCCTATCTGAACTGCTACCTCAAACCGAATGAGATTTGATATATACCAATAGTAGCATGTATTGCCATAGCTATTTTTCTCTTTATATTCAATTAATATGGTATTTTCTATCCTCACATTCTAACATGATGTCTTATTCTCAAGTTATATTTCTGAATTCATAAAATATGTATTCAAAATTGAAATAATCAAATGCACTTTATTATTTATTCATTCATGTGCCAAATATACATGGGCAAATATCGTATCAGAGTATAATATCAAGCGAGAAGCAAGGCTATTTACTGGAATAAACATGTATCCATATAGGGTCTGTTTGGTACAGCTCCAACTCCTAAATTTAGCTCTAGGAGTTAGGTCTGGAGTGGAGTTATGGAGCTACCTAAACCCAGCTCCACAACTAAAGTTCATTTTGTGAGAGAGCTCCACCTAGCTCCACTCCCATTTTTTATGTAGCTGAAACTGTTTGTCTGAGCTCCAGCTCTATAAGGGGTGGAGCAGAAGCTATGCCAAATAGGTCCGCACTATGTACGTACATGTAATCTAGGACAGCTATCAGTGCAAAGAGCACATAATATAGGATAGCTATGTACATAAAGCTTCAGCCATTTCCTTCTACCCCTCCGTTTCATATTACAAGACTTTATAGTGTCAACATTCATATAGATGCTAATAATTTTATGCATATATATGAATGTGGACAATGCTATAAAGTCTTATAATATAAAACGGAGAAATTGACGTGCAATTCTTTTGCGCGTCAAAGCTTCAGCTATGGCAGATGATCAAGACTTCTAGAACTTGGACTTGAGGAGCCTGATGATCTTGACGTCCACCTGGTAGTTCTCGGCGAGGACGGCGTCGGGTATCTCCGGGTCGGAGCCGAACAGCGACGGCGCGGCGGCCACGACGCCGGGCAGCTGGCTGTTGAACGCCGTGATGACCTGGGCGGCGACGTCGCCGACGTTGTACTGGAAGTGGATCATCCCGCGCGGGATGACGAAGGTTTCCCCCTCGCCGAGCACCCTGGAGAGAACTTCCCCGCCGTGCTCACGAACCCGACGAGTATACTACCGGCGACGATACGTGCACCAGCTCGGCGGCGCGTGGGTGGCTGTGCAGCGCGTTGAGGCCGCCGGGGGCGAAGTCGCCGCGGTTGATGGACACGCCGAGCGTGTTCAGCCCCGGGAACGCCTGCACGTTGCCCAGCGTCGCGTTGAACCCGAACCGGTTCTCCGTGTTGCCGGCGAAGAAGAAGTCGTCGGAGATGACCGCCGTGGACTCTGGCTTTCACGGGAAGCCCGGGTAGGCCGGAGCCCGCTGCGGCGTCGCCGGCGCAGGGGACGACGGCCACGCAGAAATCCTGCACCGGCTCAGGGTCAGCGACGCAGGTGGAGACTAGCACGGCGAGCACCGCCGTCAGGCGTCAGGACGAGCAATGGCGCCGACGATGATGTCCTCGACATGGCTTCAGTGCACTCCATTGGTGACGAGGTTGATATTCGGGTGCAATGCTATATAGGAAGTGGATTTTTGTCCCTCCGATGGGACATACTCTAGTTGTGTGCATGACGTTCAAAAAGTTATAAAAAAGTTAAAAAATTTATCAAGATAGATCAATATATGATATATCTTTTCGCAAACATACAAGTTAAAATCTGACTTATATAATTCAAAATAAAGATAACAATTTTGATCGTGTATTACACGTTCTATTTATAGTCAAATTTATTATTTTTGTTTCTACTTTTATAAGTTAAATTTAAATATGTATGTTTGTGAAGTGATATATCACTATTTTTTTATTTTTTATGATTTTTTAAGTGACATGAAAAAAGAATAGGATATCCCCTTAAGGGATGAGTAGAGTTTTCATGCTATACAAGAGGTGATGAAAGGATTTTTTTTTTCGAGAATGAAAGAAAAATATTTGAAGGGTTAAAAAAAAAAAGTCTCTGACTCACTGTTAACGCAGTATTAATCACTAGTGACTACTCATGGTTACCGTAAAAAAACGACTACGCAGAGTGAGAGATTGACAGGCCCTTTCGGTGGTAATTCCGTGTATAATCATTATCCCGTTGCATCAATTACTTATCTTTTAGATAGTTGTTGAGAACTCTAACTCTCCAAATCGTGATTGGTGAAACGTGTGAGAAACTATTTTGTAAGAGGCAAAGTTCTCAACTATGGCCATTTCACCGATCTGGAAAGTGGCAGTACGCGTTGGATGATCCTAGTAATCGGATTATGATTCATAAGGTCGTAGTTAGAAATTGAAGGTCTTGGCACGAAACATATAGCGGGAGTCTAAAATTTTAAAATATAGTATATCGTAGAGATTATTGAATATTGTTGCGATGACTTATAATCTTATTATGCCCTGGTGGCATGCGATGTGTCAATTTATGGTCTTGGTGATTTGGTGATTGTATGGGGACTACTATTTAACGCACTTGCGTTCCCAACAAATCCCTTTTTTCCCCCTAAAAACTTTCATCCAAAAATTTTTTGTCCGCAAAAGTTTCACCCGGAAAAACATTTATCTATATATTTCATAGAAATACTTTAATTGAAGAAGTTCTATAAAAAACTTTCATATGAAAGTGTGCACTAGAACGTATGTACGACAAATAACATTTTTAGACTACGCGCGGCTCCATGATGAGTGAAGATAGGTAAAGTAACCAGGGCCTCGTTGAGCAATGCGCCAATGCCGGAGAGAGGCGTCGGCGTAGAGGTCTATGACAACAGCTCATTCTCGACCGAAACTGACGTCGCCGCAGTGGTGCAGCCGTGCAGCGCGTTATGGTGGAGGAAGAAGGGCAAGTTGTGGGCTCAGGAGCAGTACATGGATCAGCTTGTGGAACTCACTCGATGAGCAAATCACCATAGTTGAAAACTTTGCCTCTCAATATAGTTCCTCTCATATTTCACCAACCACAATTTGAAGAGTTAGTTCTTAACACAGCTCTCTAAAAGATAGCAACTAATGCAGCGAAATGATGGTTAATTATAGACGGAATTACCACCCAAAGATTTGTCAATCTCTCAAGCTGAGTAGTCATTTTTTGCACGGTAAGTCAGAGTACTCATCTCATCATCTGTAATCAGTAGTACTGCACTAACAGAGAGGACTTTTAAAGTTTAAACCCTTTACCCTTCAAAGATTCAGACAGTTCAAAGTCCTCCAAATATTTATCCTTCCTCACGTCCTATATAACATTGCATTTGCACCACACCACTCGCCACCAATGGAGCACACCGGAGCCATGTCGAGGACATCGTCGGCGCCACTGCTCGTCCTGTCGGCGGCGCTCGCCGTGCTAGCCTCCACCTGCATCGCCGACCCTGAGCCGGTGCAGGACTTCTGCGTGGCCGTCGTCCCCCGCGCCGGCGACGCCGCGGCGGCGGCGTGCCCGGCCTACCCGGGCTTCCCGTGCAAGCCGGCGTCCACGGTCGTCTCCGACGACTTCTTCTTCGCCGGCCTCGCCGTCGCCAGCGACACGGACAACCGGTTCGGGTTCAACGTGACGGCGGCGAACGCGGAGACGTTCCCGGGGCTGAACACGCTCGGCGTCTCCATCGGCCGCGTCGACCTTGCCCCCGGCGGCGTCAACCCGCTGCACAGCCACCCGCGCGCCACCGAGCTGATCCACGTCGTCGCTGGGAGGGTGCTCGCCGGGTTCGTGAGCACGGCGGGGGAGTTCTACTCCAAGGTGCTCGGCGAGGGGGAGACGTTCGTCGTGCCGCGCGGGATGATCCACTTCCAGTACAACGTCGGCGGCGTCGCCGCCCAGGTCATCACGGCGTTCAACAGCCAGATGCCCGGCGTCGTGGCCGCCGGGTCGACGCTGTTCGGCTCCGACCCGGAGATACCCGACGCCGTCCTCGCCAAGAGCTTCCAGGTGGACGCCAAGATCATCAAGCTCCTCAAGTCCAAGTTCTAGAAGTCTTGATCATCCGCCATGGCTGATGAAACTTCTATTTGCCCAGCTGTCCTAGATAACAAAGATATAGTACTCCTACGTGGAATATATGTTTATTCCCGTAAATACCGTTGCTTCTCGGTTGATATTCTGATACGATATTTGCCTGTATATATTTGGCACGTGAATAAATAAAAGTGCATTTGATCATTTCGAATTTGATGAATTCTCATACACATGTAGCAAATGTCGAACAAAAGATCGCTCGAACAAAACCTGAACCTAAAGTAAAATTGTGGAACAACCTAAAGCCCCTAGCTCCACCTCTAAAGTGAAGTTTGGAGCTAGAGCTCTTCTAAACAGGCCATGTACCTAGTTTAAAAAACTAGTTTTAGCCCACTGGTTTCAAAAACCAGCTTTGCTCCAAGCCTACATTATTCACTTTTGGGCCTGTTCAAGGGAAACTCTTTTAATCACCCAAGTGGATGTCCACTCGTTTAATACGTAATCTAAATAGTTATTAAGAAATTTGAAAAAAATGACGATCAATATGTAATATGTAACTCCATAAACATCCAAGTTAAAATTCAACTTCTACAAGTTGTAATTTATAGAGTGATATATTACATATTGATCTATTATGTTATTTTTAACTTTTTATAACTATTTATTTATCATGCAATAAACAGATAGACATCCACTTGGGTGATTAGAATCTGTCTTCCCTGTTTTAAGCCTATTTTTACCTAACTTTCAGCTCTATCACTTCCATTTCAGTCCATTTAGCTTTCGGGCCTACAGTTCGAGGATATTTGGGCCTAGTAGGCTTGGCCCAAAATGCAGGCCCACAGGTAACCTGCTGGTTCTAGAACTCGCCGGCCTCTCCCTTCTCCCTCCTCCCTTTTCCCTTCTCCCCAACACTCGCGCATCGCCCGCCCACACTAGGGTTTTTGATCCGCTTCGCCGCCGCCGCCGCCGCCGCCTCCTTCTCCTCCTCCTCCGCGGCCGTCACCGATCTCATCCGCCGCCGACGATGGTGGGGCTGGGCGCGATGCCGGGGTACGGGATCCAGTCCATGCTCAAGGAGGGGCACAAGCACCTCTCCGGCCTCGATGAGGCCGTCCTCAAGAACATCGACGCCTGCCGCGAGCTCTCCGCCATCACCCGCACCTCCCTCGGCCCCAACGGTGAGGCCCCCTTCCCTCTCCTTCCCCGCTCTGTGCTCCGGCGTCTTCGTTGCCCGCGTTTTGATCCGAGAAGTTTGGGATCTAGCGATGTGCCACGGCGGACTCGATCGATATATCAAATCTGGGGAGTGTCGCGCGCGTGATGTGGTGGTACGGTAGAAATGGTTAGGCTATGGCCCTTGTTGCTGCATCCACAGTGTGTTAATTATTTAGCTGCAGAAAAGATGAGCTTTTGTTTGTTCAACCCTTAGGTAATGAGGTTGAAGACAGTATTGTGATGAAGTCGTTAGTAGTGTTTCACATTTAGCTAATTTAATGGTGCAGAGAAAAGTTGTGGATCTTTTGGACACTAAAAAATTGTGGTGCCTGTCTTGCGGTTTTAGGTTGAGTTCAGTTAATTTTTCAGCGATTTATTGTTAGAGGCCAGCAGTAAACATGCTCCTGCGCTACATTTTTCTGTGATGTATAATATCTGACAGATTCATGTTAGTATCAGAAGCTAGTTTCTTAACAGCATCGCTGTTTTGTTTTGGTAGGAATGAATAAGATGGTCATTAACCATCTCGACAAGCTCTTTGTCACGAACGATGCTGCAACAATTGTGAATGAGCTCGAGGTCCAGCACCCTGCTGCTAAGATCCTGGTACTAGCTGGCAGGGCTCAGCAGGAGGAAATCGGTGATGGAGCTAACCTCACCATATCTTTTGCTGGTGAACTGCTTGAGAAGGCCGAGGAGCTTATCAGGATGGGGTTGCATCCAAGTGAGATCATCATTGGCTACACCAAGGCCATTAATAAGGTTACTTACCCTCCCGATTGAGCTGGCCTTATATTGATTAAAAAAACCTGTTGCCTGATGGCAGGCTAGTTATTCATGCATTTGCATCTGCAATGCGCAGACTGTTGAGATCTTGGAAGATCTTGTGGAGAAAGGTTCAGAGAACATGGATGTGAGGAACAAGGAGGAGGTTGTGTTGCTGATGAGATCTGCAGTTGCGAGCAAGCAATTCGGTCAGGAGGATATATTGTGCCCTCTTGTGGCTGATGTAAGACAATTCTTACCATCTTATGTGAGAGGGAGCTCATTTCTTAACAACTAATAGCTGGTTTTTTACCATGGATTTTCAGGCCTGTATGCAAGTCTGCCCGAAAAATCCTGCTAACTTCAACGTTGACAATGTTAGAGTTGCGAAACTACTTGGAGGTGGTTTGCACAACTCTTCTGTAGTCCGGGGGATGGTTCTGAAAAATGACGCTGTTGGGAGCATCAAAAGGGTGGAGAAGGCAAAGGTGACAACTAAATGTTACACTTAATTGGTGGTGTGTCTTTTGGCAGTCTGTTGATACATTATCTATTTTCGATTGATGATACTGTCATGCTTTTATAGTGAGGGCTGTTTCCACACTGTATACTATCATACATTAGGTGGTGTTAACATATATTTTCCTTTCTCATCCCTTTCATGGATGAAGCATATCATCACTTGGGATCAAATATTTGTTATTCTATTCTTTGTAGCTTCCCACCATAAAATCGATAGTAATAACTAAATAATTCATCTTTTTGAAATTTTGATTTGAGATATGATACTTATTTTTCTTTGTCATTTCACACTGATGATGTAAAGGATTTTCTCAAGGCTTGCTTGGTGGTTACATTTAATGGAATATATCTTGCTAACAAGCTTTGAAGGTAGCAGGGTTCTAAAATTTGGTAGTCAGTCTTCAATTGGTCTCCACCTAGTTATGATCATATGGCTTAATTAGGAATTGCATGATAACATTCTTCTTTCCTTGTATATGGCATAGTAGTAGCAAACCTTCTTTAGAATACCTGTGGCATTTTTACAGTTTTTTTGTTGATGTGCTCAATAATCTTACATATGGTACATGGTCAATTAGAAGCTGTACACCTACATTACAATAAACTGCAACCTTGTAGACCTATTCATGTATTCATGCACTGTATGCACATTGTAGTCTTAGCCAATCCAAGTTACATGATCTTCTCTATACAATGCCGGTCAATATCTGCTCTAATTTCTAAATCAATCAGATTGCAGTATTTGCTGGCGGTGTTGATACTTCTGCAACTGAAACCAAGGGAACTGTTTTGATACATTCTGCTGAGCAGGTATGTTCTTAATAAAGAAACATCGTTTTTTGGCCTAATTATCACGAACGTTTTACTGCAGTTAGTATAGTTCGAGTTTCAACTTTCAAGTTATGTGTTCTATTATATTACCCATTCTCATTTATAGACTAATCCATTACAGTGTTATCTTCTAATTATTATTTTGCTTTCTTTTGTTTATTTTTTGAACTTCTTTCCGTGTGTGTGCCTTTACACCTTTAAAAAAATACAAATTACCCCTTGAACTTCTTAATATTGATAAAACATCAAATCTAAATGGATAGCCACATATAAGTGAATATTCCCAATAGCAGAAAGGTGTTAACACATTTCATGAAAAAAATATTTTATTTTATTTTATCCGTAGCAAAGCATGGGCATTAAGCTAGTTTCCACTTATAATCTATTTTGTAGGTTGTAAAATACCAATGAGCCCTAGTTGCAATTATAACTCAATATCCTAGTATGTTCTGACCAGCACAGGGTTCTTGCTTCTGTAGTTTATCAAAAGCACTGTCTTCCACAAATATCTTCTGCAGAGTAGGCACTCATACTTGTACTGTTGTGCAGCTAGAAAACTATGCTAAGACTGAGGAAGCTAAGGTGGAGGAGCTTATCAAAGCTGTTGCTGACTCGGGTGCAAAGGTTATTGTCAGTGGAGCAGCAGTTGGCGACATGGCACTGCATTTCTGTGAGCGTTACAAGTCAGTTCTTTGCATCTTATGTGAATGGGCTTGATATGTTATATAATTCTCTCTTCTTCTTTTTTGCAACTTCTTATTTACATCTCAAAACTGAAAATATTATAAATACTCTACTCAACTGAAATCCTCAGATGGAAGTTCTAATGTTGATGTTGAAAGGTGTCTCAAAGTTGGGTCACTGTAATGATTATGATTAGGTTCTGTTTTACAGTAGTACTTACCATTCTATTTATTTGCAGGCTAATGGTTCTTAGAATCAGTTCAAAATTTGAACTGAGAAGATTTTGCCGTACTACAGGGTCCATTGCACTTGTAAGTTCTGATCTCAAGCTTTTGTTCAATTGCACAGTAGTATGTATATGCTGATGCATGTGCTCTTTCAAAAACAGTTGAAACTCAGCCGACCAAATGCGGATGAATTAGGATATGCAGACTCTGTTTCGGTGGAAGAGATCGGTGGTGCCCGAGTATGTTTCATGCCTCTGTTCCTTTCCAATAGACATGACTTCATTCTTCTTACCACGTTTAATTCTTTATAGGTAACTGTTGTCAAGAATGAAGAAGGTGGAAACTCAGTGGCTACGGTTGTCTTAAGAGGCAGCACCGATAGTATATTGGATGATCTTGAAAGAGCTGTTGATGATGGTGTGAATACTTACAAGGTATGACTGTAAATCAACTTCCTGTCATTGTTTTGGAACATACATGCTACTCTTATTTAATTAGCTAACAGGTTACCTGACTGTTGGTGTTTATACAGTCAATGTGCAGGGATAGTCGGATTATTCCTGGAGCTGCTGCAACAGAAATAGAATTGGCAAGGAGATTGAAGGAATTTTCTCTGAAGGAAACAGGGTAAGTATATTTGTTAGACAAAATTTTCATGTGTGGAACATGATGATAAAAATATGTTCCATTTTTTACTACTTTTGGTCTGACAAACTTTTGTTGTTTCCAGTCGACTGTCAATAAATATAATAAGCCCTATTGCTAATGTTCTCCTGTAATATTTGAATTAAACTATCTGAAGTCCAGGTGCAGCTTACTTATATATTGAGGTGTCCATACTGCCTAACCCATCTGGATTTTTTTTAAAAAAAATGAATTCGCTTGTAGTTTTCTAGAGTTTTATACGTCAGTATGCCTGATACATTTGATTCATGAGCATCTGTTTATGTACCTTGGTTTATGATGTTCATTGTCCTTAGTATATACATTGTTGCTTTTTGCTTCCTATATTGATAGTTAACAATTATGCAGGTTGGACCAGTATGCCATTGCAAAATTTGCTGAAAGTTTTGAAATGGTTCCAAGAACCCTGGCTGAAAATGCTGGGCTTAGTGCTATGGAGATAATATCTTCCCTTTATGCTGAACATGCTGGTGGGAATACGAAAGTTGGTATTGACTTGGAAGAAGGTGGTTGCAAGGATGTCTCAATCATGAAAATATGGGACCTTTATGTTACAAAGTAAGTCATATGCCATAACCTTCCAGTATGGCATAATAGGTGCACGTACTGTATGGGAAGCACGCTGTTTTTTACTTTTCGTGATACCCATGTATTCATTTTTTTTATTATTTGCATGTTTACTGGCGAGACTTAAGCAAGTTGGCCAACCTCATATCATGTGTGTTCTTTTCTCTCATCAGGTTATTCGCTCTAAAATACTCTGCGGATGCTGCATGTACTGTACTGCGGGTTGACCAGGTAAGAGCAATCTTGTACTGTTGGCTGTGTTAAAAATGAAGTGAAATCGTTTCATCATTCCCATATGCTAATGCTTGTGCACATGAATTATGCAGATCATCATGGCAAAGCCAGCAGGAGGGCCAAGGAGAGATGCTCAGCCTGGAATGGACGAAGATTAGTTTGCTACCGTGCTATATTTTCCATGTTTACCGTGTTCTGAGGTTTCTCCGAAGTAGACCTCTTTTTTATCTTATTTATAAGTTTGGTTCAGTAGGAAGATTTTGGTGCCTGGACAGCACGTTTGGGTGGGGGCTGCATGGTTGAGCTGATTTTCTGCGGGGTATGTGTTTGTGAGTTTGTCTCGGTGTATTATTATCATGCCAATGTATCAAAATGGTTAGCTCTAAAAAGGATTTGTTCTTTCAGATTTGTATGCCGAAGTATCTTTTTTCTTTGTTGCGCTGAACTCTTTTTTGTTCTACGGTATGATGAATCACTTACGCTTGTATTTTTGCGACAGAGGTACTATGTGCTACGATGACGCATCTGCAGTTTGTCATTTCTTGAACATTACACTTCATAACCGATTCAATGTCTAATAATCAGATCTTTGCTCATGGGTCGTTTAATATAAGTCTTCTCCGTAAAAAAAAAAGATCTACTTATAGGGACACTTTATCTAGATTTATCATCAGAAGTTATTTTTAGAACGAAGGGTGTATGCATTGCCTATTCTGCCTCTGTTTGGCTTTTAATCTCCAACATTTTATGGCACCTTCAAACCATGGATGCATCTCTGTTACACCTTCCCAATCCATATTTTTTGAAAACAAGAAATGACACTACATAAAACACGGTAGTGAAATAGAATGCTTCTCCATTCCATTTTCACATACCATGGGCCAGCAGAGCAGGCCCTCATATCTTGGGAGGATTTTTTTTTCAAATACAATAAAATAATTCTTTATACTTCATTTATTTTATATCATAAGGCGTTTTACATTTGTTAAGTCAGATATTTAAAATTTGATTACTTTTATAAAATTAAATGTGGCAACATCTGCACAAAAGAGAAAATAAGAGGGAAAATATCTCATGCTAGGGGAAACACCATTAATATAATGGTGAAATGGTGGGTGGTTGACTTTAATCACCAGGATTTAAATCCTGGTAACCACAGATATTACGTACACGCTAGTATGATGTCAACAAGATTTTAGCGGTTTATGTCTCTTTGAGTGTGTGTTAGGAAACATCTTTGGTGATATTTTGGTGTGATGTTGCATATATAGTGTGTGCACTTGTGCATCTTCCATGCAATTCAAAAAAAAAAAACATCCCATGCAAACCTTGCTGCTTTGACAATCTTATTATTGCCAATGTATGGTGTACATGCGTGTACGTCCACAGTGTAATATAAACATCTCATATTAGGCTTGACAATGTTATCAGGCTCTTATTATTCACCACAGAATTAACACGCATTTTAACAGTATTTTTCGTCATTGATCTCCCCTCCTCCGGTGTGGAGGCGCTCCACCAGCTCGTCGAAGTACTGCTCCTGCCGTCGCTGATCCCCAACCGCTTCCTTCATTTTCCTGGCGTTTTCGCCGAACACCTTGCGTTCATCCTCCACCATGACGCGCCGCACCGCCGCGGCGACGTCGTGCCGGCCGAACGAGCCCTCGTCGTCGTCCTCCCTGGCGACCTCCACGCCGACGCCCCTCTCCGCCATCGCCCGCGCGACGAGGCCCTGGTCGACGACGAACGGCAGCATCACCAGCGGGTGGCCGAACACGAGGCTCTCGATGGTGGAGCCCCAGCCGCAGTGCGTCAGGAACGCGCCCACCGCGGCGTGCGCGAGCACCTCCACCTGCGGCACCCACCCCGTCCACACCACGCCGCGCCCGCGCGTCCGCTCCTCGAACCCGTCGGGGAGGAGCTCGTCGGCGTCGGCGGCGGAGGCGTGGCTCAGCGTTCCCGCCGCCGGTTTCCGGAGCGCCCACAGGAAGCGCACGCCAGCGAGCTCCAGCCCCAGTGCGAGCTCCTGCAGGTAGCAATGCAAGCAGGTTGACCAGCGAATTCAATTATAGGTCAAATAAATAATAATTTATAGGTTTTCATGTAGTGGCTTATCTTGTCACATCTAAGATATATAAGTGGGTTGATATATAAAATTAATAGATCATCCGCAAGTCAAACCCATAGGCTATACACTAATTTTGTCTTTAAACGGGTTCGTTGACAAGCCTACTTGCACCCCTACCTGCAGGTTCTTTGCCGTCACCGGCGCCTCGCTCCCCAGCGCCACGTAGATGACCGACTTGGTCGGCTGCTCGTCGAGCCACCGGAGCGTCTCGGCACGGTCAGCTGAGCTTCCGCCGTCGACGTCGTCGTCGTCGGCGGCGGCGAGGTCGGGCGGCGGCGTCAGAAGGATCCCGGCTGGGACGGCGGGCCGACGGAAGAGGTCGATGAGGAGGGCTAGCACCCCAGGCTCGACCTCGTCGCAGCTCCGGTAGATGGTGAAGCGGCAGCTCTCGATGGTGCGCCACATGCGCTCAATGTCGGACACGCCGGAGGCGTTGGGCCGGAAGGCGCCGACGACCCACCTCGCCTCGTTGCGGCGGTACGCCATGGCGGAAGGTGGAGGGAACCACCTCGGCGGCGCGGTGAAGTCCAGCGGCGCGCGCGGGTGCGCGGCGTTCGCCCACCTCGGCCCCAGAAACGCGATCGCCGCGGCCTGCACGATCAGGAACACGGCGCACGGCACCTGCATGCACCGCCATGCGCGCGCGCGCCAGGTGTTCGATCAAATACTCAAGACAAAAATACTGAAACGTGCGAGCGCGCGTGCGTACATTGTGCTCGGCGGCGATGGGCGGGAGCCAGTGGTAGGCGAAGTCGATTATGATCCAATCCGGCTTCCTCCCACCGGCGGCGACGAGATCCGCCATGAACGCGGCGAACGGGGCGGCGAGGCCGTCGCACGCCTTCTTGATGAGCTCGTCGTTCCCCGGCGGCACGTCGGCCGTCGACTCGGCTCCCTCCGGCAGCCCGTCCACCGGCGGCATCGGCAGCGACACGAACCGGAGACGCGCAGACAAGCCCGCCGGCACCGGCGGGAGCCTGGACACGTTCCGCGGCGTGGAGACGAACGTGACGTCGTGGCCCCTCGCCGCCAGCCTCTTGGACAGCTCGAGGTAGGGGATCATGTGCCCGAACGCCAGCCACGGGAACACCACCACGTCGAGCCCGCCGCCGCCGCCGTCTCCCATCGTGCCGGCCGGTGCAACGGCGGCGTCGCGGCCGGAGCAGCTAGAGCAAACTGGTTCTCCAATGGCGAGGTAGCAACGCGTGTCCGTGTGTGTCGTGGGCGTCCATAATTTTAAGGAGCTTTCAGCTTTGTCGCGCGTCATTCTAAGGTGCAACGTTGCAGCTCGCGCTCCTCGTGCGCGGATTTTAAAATTCTAGAAATCCTTGTTGGCTCCCAAGTAAACATCATCTGGGATGTGATCAAGTCGCAACAACTTTTGAGTACAATGATAATTGTAGCTATAAATTTGTCTCGTGATGTAGTCTCACGGCAAATAAGTGTACTGTAGCTTTTTTTTTTTTAAATTGGAACCATGCTATTATAATTTTGCAAAGTTTGAGATATACCATCGATATCTCAATAACATGTAGGACTACCAATTTTTGGGTTGAAATACTTATCACGTTATGATCTGACCAATCAAAATTTGTTGATGATCCAAGCTGAAATTATATTGATCAACATTGACAGGTAGTTAAAACTGGAGGAAGCAGTCTAACTTACAAGTCACTGCGCAGAAACAATGATTATTCATACTCTCGTCAATCATAGATGGAAATGTTATCTCTGTCGGAAATGCTGTTGGGCGATCGATCGCCCTGGGGATGGGGTGGCGATCACCTCCCCCCTCCCTCCCTCCACCTGGTTTCCTTTTTTTGGTACCGCATTACTTTCCTATTTTAGTAAATTTATACACCTAAAGTTTATATACCTCAAGTTTACATATATAAAGTTTAGAGACCAAAAGTTTATAAGTCAAAAGTTTATATATCCGATTCAAATTTAAATTTGAATTCAAATATTTTTTTATATATAGTATTTCTATACTCTAAAGTTTATACACCTAAAGTTTATAGACCTAAAGTTTATAAGTCAAAAGTTTATATACCAGTTTCAAATTTGAATTTGAATTATATCCGATTCAAATTTGAATTTGAATTCAAATATTTTCTATATATAGTATTTCTATGCATCTAAAGTTTATACACCTAAAGTTTATAGACCCAAAGTTTGTAAGTCAAAAGTTTATATACCCGATTCAAATTTGAATTTGAATTCAAATTTTTTATATATAGTATTTCTTTACATAAATTTTTCTAACTTTTATTTTTTTTTAAAAAAAATTGTGGTTTACTGTAGTAGGGAAGAGAGGGGGAGAAGAGGGACGTACGTATAGGGGGAGCGGGTGCGGGTGATCGTTCCCAGCGATCACCCGCGCATTAGCAGTCCCCTATCTCTGTTTGTCAGTTTATGGGCTGCTATTACAATTTCTCACCACTCAAATATACTCCTCTCTATCTCATAAAAATCCAATTCTAAGAATAAATATGAGCATATATTGTGTCCAGATTCATCTCGAAGATTGGATTCTTTTTTTGACAGAGAGAGTATAAGTGTAATCTCTATTTATGGGACGCTATTAGAAGTTTGAATAATTATTGTAAGGCTACCACCGAAGTATTAAAAAATATCACCAGAACTGTTATTCGAGTGACATACTTGTAAAAGTGAAAAAAATAGTGGTAAAATTGTAAATGTCCCTATTCTCTTTTGTTCAGCAACTCAAGATACAAGCGGCCCGCCCAGCCCGTTTGAAGACGACGTGAGCACAAAGCAAAACGGAGGCCCATGTGAAGACGACGGAGTGGGCTGATGGCTTCGAGATGAGATAAGGCCTCGGCCCACGCATTTAAGCCATGCGAACTATTTCTAATTTTTAGTTTAAACCATTTTCTCCCTTGTTGTTTTCGCGGCCAACTGTCAATCACTTTAGCTGTTTCACTCGAAGGATCTCTTCCCTTAGGGCATGTACAATGGTAGCCACAAGTAACTATGGTCTCAAGACGCCACGTAGGATAGAACCACACAAAGGTCACACTACCCACAGTGAAAGCCACTCCAAAACGTTTTTGCATGTCAGCCCCTATCTATTTATATGTCAGCCCTTGTATTATCAAACCTATTGAAACTTTATATTTTGAACCCTATAGTAACCAAAAGAAGTATATGTATACCCCTAAACAACTTGGGACCCACTGTCAGCCTCTTCCCATCCCCCTCTCTTTTTTATTCCACTCTCTCTCTCTCTCTTCGACTTCTTCTCCACCGACGCTCTTTCCTCTCCCCTCCTCCCCTCGCCACCCACCACTCCGGCGGCAGATCGGCGTCGCTCGAGCTTTGGCGGCGGCGGATCTAGCGGCAGCGAGGAGCAGCGGTGGCGGCGGCAGCGGGGAGCAGCGGTGGCAGCGGCGGGGAGCAGCGGTGAGGGCGGCTGGCTTGACGCCACCGTCTTCCTCCCCCCACGACGGCGCGCTCGCCGGATCCGGGCGTGGGCTCACCGGATCTAGCGGCGGTGGCCACAACGCGGCGGTGATTCCTCGACGTTGCCGTCCTCCTCCACCCACGATGGCGTGGACACAAGCTTGGCGACGGCGAGCTTGCCGGATCCAGGCGCGGGCTCGCCGGAACCGACGGCAGGGAAGCGGCGGCGGCGGTGGCGGATCCGTCGGCAGGGAGCAGCGAAGACGGCGAAGCGGCGACGGCGGATCTGGCGGCGGCGGGGAGCAGCGACGACAACCACGGCGGCTGCGGCAGATCTTGTGAGGCGACGACGACCACGGCACGGGGGGACCGGATGAGGCAACGTGCGGGGCTCCGACTCCTCCAACACGAAGCTTCGGCCTGTGGCTTTGCAGCTCCCGAGCCCAAGCGCGACGCTTGCACCAGTTTCTCTACAAGCTCACTGACAGCCTGCGAGACCACCCAAACTCATGACAGCTCGGCTCAGCTCCGACGTGGACCTGCGAGACCACAGGCTAGGGTCATGCGTTGTACATGGCCTTAGGTTCCAGTCAGCTGGATCTGCATGATGCGGGTCGAATTTAAGGCTACATGACTAAAAACAAGAGTTTGGTCATGGCAATTTATTCGATAGTTTATAGTTGGATCACACTCAATTTATTATATGTATACTTAATTTGCTGGACCACTACTATTATAGTAACTACATCCTCTAATTAAAATATTAACCTTAGCTTCGAAAGGTCTTATCTTTTTGTTTATACTTATGCTTATAAAAAAAATAAATTTTCAACCTTAAAATTAAAGGTAAATTTGGGATTTTTTTAATCAAAGTTTATTTTTCACATGTATAGAAAAGTTTTATTCACATACTTCCTCTGTTTCACAATGTAAGACTTTATATATATATATATATATATATATATATATATATATATATATATAGTAAAGTGTATTGGCGGTCCTTAAACTTGTAGGGTTGTGTCATATAGGTCCCTAAACTCTCAAAATACATATCCAGATCCAGAACTTGTCAAAGTGACAAATTGACACATCCCCTCTAGAATCCTACGTGGCGCTGACGTGGCAATGCCACATGGACGTGACGTGTCCTTTTTTTTTCTTCTTCTTCTTTTCTTTTTCGGTTTCTTCTCATACTTCTTTTTTTCCTTTTTTTTCTGCATGGGTCACAAAGAAAGGAGAAGAAAGGGGAAAAAAGAGAAGAAAAAGAAAAAGGAAAAAACTTAAATGGGTCCCATTTATCAGTCAAAATAATACCATGTCATGTCCGTGTAGCATGCTACATCAATGCCACGTAGGATCCTGAAGGGGTTGTGTCGATTTGGGACCTAGATAACACACTATAACAAGTTCTGGGACTTGGATATGCATTTTGATAGTTTAGGGACCTAGATGACATACACTTACAAGTTTAAGGACCGCCTGTACACTTTTCTCATATATATATATATAATCATTAACTTCTAAATAAATATGAGCAATACTAGAAAGTTTTACAATCTAAAACGGAGGGAGTATTATTTTTTCGTTTGTAAATATGTTGAGGATGAGCCAGATTGTACAACATAAAAATTTATGCTAGACTTGTTAGTACTATCGCTAAAATGCAGCCACGCCCAGCAGCCAGCACTACAAGCGTGCAAGCCCTATACCGTGATAGACCAGCAATGTGATATTCTTTGACTTTATAAAACCAACGGCATAAATAGTGTACAAACATTTTCTTTTTCTGTAAGAAGAAAAAGTGAAAACCCAAACACTGAAAGACACCCGATCCCTCTGGAAACAAAACGACGAAACCCTGACGCGACTGTCGGCCGTGGCCCCACCGCCCACACCCCCATCTCCGCTCCACGTGGAGTCCAGCTGGTTCATCCTCCCCCGCGCATCACATCCACTTGATGACACCCACGCTACACGTGGACCCCCACTCCGGGTCAAGATCCACTACGTACCCCACCCCCTCCCACTGACGTCTGGGGCCCACGCACCTGGCCCCACCCGTCAGTGTGATGGCCCGCCCCCGTCGCGTGCGATAGATACGACCGATGCGAGGCGAGAAGAGTTCGAGTTCGAGCGCGAGAGAGCACGATACGAAACGAACACGCGGAGAGAGAGAGAGAGAGAGAGAGGAGGAGGAGGAGACGACGCGGCGATCGGCGAGACCGGAATCCGGCGGCGACGCCACCCATCTCCCCCGCCGCCGTTGGCCGCGGCTAGAAGTAGTGGGGGGGGGGGGGGGGCTCGCCGGCGCGCGGGCATCGGCATCGGCGTGAGTAGATCGTATCGTGCGAGTGGTGGATCGGAGGAGGGTGATCGCGATTTGTGAGGAGGGGGGGGGGGGGGGGTTGGGATTTGGATTTGGATCGTGGGGATCAGGGGGAGGAGGAGATGGGGGTGCTGTCGAGGCCGGAGGAGGTGTTGCCGCTGGTGAAGCTGCGGGTGGCGGCGGGGCGGATCAAGCGGCAGATCCCGCCGGAGGAGCACTGGGCCTTCGCCTACACCATGCTGCAGAGGGTCTCCCGGAGCTTCGCGCTCGTCATCCAGCAGCTCGGCCCCGACCTCCGCAATGCCGTCAGTATCCACCACCTGTTCCTCCTCCTCCCCCTCCTCCCATCTGCTGTTCCCGAATTCTCATGTGTTTTTACGGTCTCCCGTGCTCGAGGAGATTCTGATGGCCGTTGTGCTGATTCCGCAGGTGTGCATCTTCTATCTCGTGCTCCGAGCCCTCGACACTGTTGGTCAGCAATTTCTCTGAACTACTTTGTACTTTTCAATTGCTTTTTGACTTTACCACGATTTGGTGATTTGGTGAATTTTTCTTTTCAAACAAAGTGGTTTGTGGCGCCTTTTGAATTATTGAATTACCCATGGTTTTTGTGTTTTCCTTTATCGACTTACATACTATGTTTTTTTTTTTCATGGGTGCGTGCAGAGGACGACACTAGCATTCCTGCCGCGGTGAAGGTGCCGATCCTTAAGGAATTCCATCGGCATATCTACAACCGCGACTGGCATTATTCATGTACGGTATCGCTCCACTAAATATGCTGTTCTCAGGCTGAGCAGGATGGCGGCTTTTTTGTGTTTTGTTAATCGGAGTTTGATTGGTTTGATGTGACCTTGCAGGTGGAACAAAAGACTACAAATTACTGATGGATAAGTTTCGCCTTGTCTCCACGGCTTTCTTGGAGCTTGGTCAAGGGTAAATTCAGTTCCGAGTCTTCTGAATGTTTTCCTTGTCTGACTTTTCTTGGTTCCTAGTACTTCGCGACTTGACATCTTTGAGGCTTCTCATATATTGGCGTTTTCTCAAATTCTTTGGACGCATGCCATTTCTCAAATTGTATATTGGCGTAGTCTCAAATTCTTTGGACGCGTCAGTCCAGATATTCATATCCATGAAACTACTTCAAGACTTTTCTACATAATGTGGCGTTCACTTGGTAGTAGTAGCTAGCTGAGAAACCATCCTGCATGGTCAGACTCAAATGGTGAAATAAAAAGCTGATCATGATATTTACACAGTAAGATGATTTGTACGATGATAATTGCTATGAATTAGCAAACAAGCATCCTACAGAAAAACAGGGGACTACACAAACTTGAACGGCAGTTATATTCGTGAACCCTATGAACCGTGTTCTTTTGATTGTTTTTGTTAGAACTTCTTCAATCCTGTTAATGTTAAGTATTCTTCACACTCGATTATATTTGGTCATATTTATATTATTTCGACGAGGAGCAGACCAAATTTTGTTGGAATAACGGAGAGCATGTGTTCAGCCGTTTCTGAATGTAAAATTGCATTTTACTTTGGTTGCCCATATCCCCGGATACTTGCATCACTCAATATTCTGATATACTCTTTTCTTTCTTAGTTATCAAGAGGCAATTGAAGAAATCACTAGGCTAATGGGAGCAGGAATGGCAAAATTTATCTGCAAGGAGGTATGTTGTTAATATAGCCATCAAAACATCTAAGCAAACATAATTTTGAAATAAATGTTTTGGTGCAATGTTCTTAACATAAGGAGATCACAAGGTCATTTTATTCAAAAACCAGTATTTAATTTTAGTGTGAGGCGATGACCTTGTACTCTTTTTTTTTTTCTGGTTTCCATATCAGCAGTAGATGGTAAGGCCTATGTCTCATCACTTATTAGAAATGTCTGCCCTGTATATGGTACTATCCGTGCATATTCTTTTCTGGCTCAAAAAATAGGGTACAGTCCATGGTGTGTTTCGGTAACTTCATGCTTGGTAGGAGTGTTACTGTGAATTTTGACCAAAGAGAATGACAAAAGCCTGTGTGCTTGTGTCCATATACTTTTCCACGCTATTCCTAAGTCCTAAGGTATCTAGTGAATAGCCAGTGGCCACTATATATCGTGCTTAAAAGAACAAATGTTTTTACTGGTATTCAAGTGATGACCAAAGGCTATAACAGATGGTCATATGCTTCATGCAACCTTGACATGCTTTTATGCCTTCTTTTCAGTTCCATGTCCAGTTTTTGGCTGTCCTATCAGTAAGTGGTTGTACTTTTGGTTTCCTCCATATGAAAGATGTTATCTACCTTGTGGCCATTTGTAGTCTCACAGAATATACTATGAAATGCCTGATCTGAAACAATAACAAAGACACAATATTCTCTTCAAAATTGTGATAAATCTTTTCGATGGTATCTAGTGTCCACCCTCAATTGGCTACATTATTACGTGGATCTGAACTTTATTAGATTCCCTCATATTTCCATGGGATATGCTTAGACATGTTTTAGTTGCATCTAGTAAAATTAGGGAGTAAACGATTAATTGCAATATAGTTTGTCATTAGTTTTCAAGAACAAAAAGGAGTTTGTAGCATATGTATTGATGAAATGCTGATTTAATACTGTTTTTAACTAACATGAAACAACTTTGTTTACATAGGTTGAAACTGTTGATGACTACAATGAGTACTGTCACTATGTAGCAGGGCTAGTGGGGTATGGGCTTTCCAGGCTCTTTCATGCTGGTGGGACGGAAGATCTGGCTTCAGATTCACTTTCAAATTCAATGGGCTTGTTTCTGCAGGTTTTTTGTTGATTTTGTTGAATCAGTTATGTGCACTTACAGTTTCTAATTGTTGTTAGTAACCAATATCTGGACTTACACTGCAGAAAATCAATATAATTAGGGATTATTTGGAGGACATAAACGAGATACCAAAGTCACGTATGTTCTGGCCTCGAGAAATATGGAGTAAATATGTCAATAAACTCGAGGTATACTGTCCATGTATCTTCTTTTTTCTTACTGAGTACTACCTCCGTCCCAAAATACTTGTCGTTCTAGGTTATTTAGCATGTACTAAGGTTTGAAGACAAAGACTATAATACCCCTTAATTAATAATGCATAGTTGGATGTGGAATGATGGTTGGGGGTATAATGGGGAGAAATTTGAATTGGAAGTGGTTGATATGACAAGTAGTATTTTAAAGTGACAACTATTTTGGGACAAGTATTGTGGGACGGAGGAAGTAGCTTTAAATTTATTCGAAATGATTAAATTGTCACCACAATTGACAAGAGATGCCATTTGAAGTGTTAAATCCAACTGTCAATAACCAAATAATATAAATTCATTTATTATGCTGGAAAGTCCACTACAGTTTTATCTATTTTCTGTGTGTAATAATACACATTTTTTTATAAAATCAGGATTTGAAATACGAGGAAAATTCAGAAAAGGCAGTTCAGTGTTTGAATGATATGGTGACTAACGCTCTGTCTCATGCTGAAGACTGCCTCCAATACATGTCAGCATTGAAGGATCATGCCATTTTCCGTTTTTGTGCAATACCTCAGGTATATGTTAATCTTTTATAGTACCAAATTTTTGAACCAATGCAAATTGTGCCAGTCTGTGTCAAATATTAACAGTTTATGATATTCTCTTGTGCTTGCTTGCAGTATATAATGATAACTTTTATATTGGCCATGAAGTTTAGTTAAGCTATTGCTAGTGTACACCTATTGCTAGTGTACACGTCTAGGAAATTTTACTCTTTTTTTTAAAATATCTGTATGTAATGCTGATTGTAATGCCTAGGGTCCAGGTATGGATCTAAGCCCAACTCATCTACTTGAACCACACATCTGAGTGACGGTTAACCGGGAATTTATTCTACCAGACTACTACTTATAAGCTGGTGCACATGGAGCCAGCTAGCCGAGGTGGTACTGAGCAAGCGTTTTCAGGCTATGCTAGCTAGCGTACTCTTCTGCTATCGATGAAACCGAAAGAAAATACCAGTGCTCTTTCATATAGATCGAGATGCAGTAAGACAGGCTTTCTCGAAGTAGGGTTGTACCATTAGAAATAGTTAGGCTAGGTCCTTGACCCCTACCTTTTCTGAGATTCATGGAATCATCACATTAATTACGCACGAATCAGAATGGGGCCTATCTATATTCCAAGTAGTACCCCTCGTCCAGTGAAGTCATGAGGCTAGCCCCCCTGAATGAAGTAGCGGAGCCCTCTGCCCACAACGCTTTAGCTAATACACAGAAATGCATACCTTTATTTTTCTGTAATTCAATGACTGCATGCATTGCTCGGTGAATGTGAAGAACTAGGCTGTTGTCGCGGCAATAATGAGGCAATCTAAAAAACTAGCTACAGGCTTGCTTGCTGCTGCTGCTGCTCCTGCTCCTGCTCCTGCATTTGCTGTCGTGTTTACTAGCTAGCGCTATTGCTGCTGTGCTCACATGTGGCCCAAGGCCAGATGGCTGTTCTGCTTGCTGCTCACTTGCGCCTACGCTAACTAGCTTGCTCATTGCTGCCTGCTTACTTGCTCTTCTTCTCTATCTTTTCCCCTTCATCTCTATTTTTTTCCTAATTATTCTGGGGCGTCACAGACTCACAGTAATTTACTGCTATAGCAAATCTTTGTACCATATCTGTGGTAAAGAGGAGCCAGCTATTTGAATTGGTTTGTTTATTAGTTCATGTTTGATCACTGTTGACATGCTAAATCTTGGGCCAATGATAGTTGATATTTGTTGGCAGTTGGGTAGCATTCCTCGTTGGTTGAAGCTGTTAATTGACCTAACATTTTGTGTTTGAGTATTATACACTTCTATTCTTGTAATATGTTTGGTATGTATTATTTTGGAACAAACTTTAGGATACTAATACATCATTCCATCTTTTCAGATAATGGCAATTGGGACATGTGCTATTTGCTACAATAATGTGAATGTCTTTAGAGGAGTTGTTAAGATGAGGCGTGGTAAGATTACATAAGACATACTAAGTAAATTCAAATTGCAGTAACCTCTCTTTACTTTGAGGAGAATAGTTATTTTATCTCCATGACCACCTTGTCAGAGTTTGCTTAATGGAATTCAATATGGATAGGCTATCCGGTTCTCTTCTTTTGTATGGTTAATTTAAGAGTAATTGTATTTATTTACTCAGTTGTCAGAAATTGATCAATGTGCAACAATAATCCTATTGGTTACACAATGGAGTGCTCCTGTGTTCATTGTCACAAGTTGGCATCATTGTAACTTGTGTCAGTTTTGTTGATTAGTGTATCATAAGATTTCACCACTTCATTGCTGGCATTTCTTTGTCCCTTTTGGTTTAGACAAAGAATGGTGATTTGTTGAGTAAGATGACTAGATGAGTATCTTTAGAATTATTGTATGCTTTGTTTTTTGGGCACATGGCTCCATATCTCAGTAGAACAGCTATAATTTAGTTAGCAGAAGGTGCAACTATAATTTATATATATTTATCACTGAATTTGCATAGTAGTAATAATTTCCTTAAGCAACTTTATTTTGTTTTGTCACCTTTATCTATTATAAACTAAGTACATCTGCTCCAGTCTCTAGTTACCTTTATGTTCTCTCACCTCAGGAAATTAACATGTTCTCTCAGGGCTCACTGCACGAGTAATTGATGAGACAAACACAATGTCAGATGTCTATACTGCTTTCTATGAGTTCTCTTCGCTGATAGAATCGAAGGTAAGGACCATGATCTTTGCTACCATGAATGTAGGGTGGCTGTCGCTCATTTCTTCCATATAGATAATAAGACACTCAAATATTTCATTTTTTACAATAGATTGCTATCCATCAATTGTATTGCACAAAAATCTTCACTCAGTATAATTATTTTTTGTTAATATGTAAACATTTCTTTTGAACTTGTTCTTTGAGCCACTTTTGCATTAAATGTTGTGTTGATTTAAGGATCATGAAATTATTTTAGTCTTCAGCAGAATGTTCTAAACAGCAAATATAGGATGTGCACTGTTATTTCTGGCCTTCAAAGGCTACCTTAGTTGTCCTGCTCAAGAGTGTATGATGTTTTACCCACATGTCCAGATTGATAATAATGATCCAAATGCTTCCCTAACGCGGAAACGTGTTGATGCGATAAAGAGAACCTGCAAGTCATCTTGCTCACTAAAGAGAAGGTTTGTTGGTTGATTCTGATTTAGTGTTCCATTTATTTCTGTTGGCATTTCTCATCCCTACCGATCATCTTAATTATGCAGGGGATACGATTTGGAGAAGTCAAAGTACAACTCCATGCTGGTGAGAATAATATATAAACCTTAAATCCTTTTAGTGATTCTGTTTCTATTTATCTTTCTCAAACTGTTTCTGTGACTTGCTCAGATAATGGTTGTACTTCTGTTGGTGGCTATTGTTTTGGGCATGATATATGCCAAGTGATTCGTCCTAGGTGGTCCATTGCCCTCAACTAGACAATCTATGCGCATCAGGTATGTCAAATGGTTTCAACAATTTTACCTGTTCTATTTCGTTTTAAAATTTGAAACAGGGAAGGGCCTGCTGAATTTGATCATGAAGTGAATTTGATATCCAGATTTCTTATCAGCGCCAACTCCAAAGCACATGCAGCAATTATAAGTACTGACTGACTGCAAGAATAGACTGTACTTCTATGAAGTTGGATCTCTTCACCTATCTGTTCACCCTAAACCTTTTCATGGTTTATAAGAATGCGGGTTGTTTCTTGCAAAATTTTGGGTAGAATGGTGCAAAAAAGAATTTGTTCGATAATGAAGATAGCTGTGGTTTTGTTAGCTTGTGTTATATTGATGTAATTTAAGATCATGCGAGTGTTTATTTTCCCGGCGACATTCTTTTGTTTATTCATTATATGCAGTATCCATTTATCTTGGCTCTCACCTGCCTGATGAAAAACATGTATGTTTATCCATACCATATGTAACACCGTCGAATGTTAATCACTTCTGCGTAACAATGCAAATGTGCCAAAACTAGTATAGAAGTATTCCGGTCAAAAATGAAAGAACATTAATAAACAAAAGAAAAAAAACATCTGGCCAGTAATGCCTCGTCCGAAACTAGTAAACTACGCGAAACAATCAACTGAAAAGGACAGGTGAATCAGCCAACCAAGACTATTGCCAGTAAACGAGAAAGCCAGTGCAGTAACAACCATCCATAAATTGAAGGTAAACGGGCGCATTTTCCAGCACCATGCCAACCAGGCTGATTACAAATCCCAACACATCAGATGTTTTCAGGGAAATCAATAGAATATGATCGTTGCTCGCGACAGCCGGGAATCAGTATCAGTCCCACGAACTAGTTGAGCCTTGACCACCACCATAGCCACCGCCATATCCACCGCCCCCTCCATAACCGCCGCCTCCATAGCCACCACCGCCACCACCATAACCGCCGCCGCCTCCACCCCTATTGTCGCGGCGGAAGTCACGGCCACCAAAACGGGCACCGCCTGATCGGCGGTTTCTGCCACCACCACCTCCGAACGAAGAACGGGCCGAGTATCGTTCAAGCCATTGAGGAACCTCCTGGTTTGCTTCCTGCATTAGCTCACATAACGGCCTCGCCAGGGATAGATTGCCCTCGTTGAAAAATGCAGTTGCCAAGCCAGACTTCCCTGCTCGTCCTGTTCGTCCGATACGATGAACATAGTCATCTATGTCATTTGGGAGGTCAAAATTGATGACATGGGCAACATGAGGTATGTCAAGTCCACGGGCAGCTACATCAGTCGCAACAAGGATGGGTGTTGCTCCACTCTTGAATGATCTAAGCGCGTACTCTCTTTCCTGGGAATACCAAGCATACAGAGATAACAAAGATGTTACATTTCAGCAGACCTAAGGCATCAACAAGGTGCCATACATGTGCCTATGTGACATCAGAAACAAGCATCATGCTGCTCAGTCTGAATTATTGAAACAAAACATAAAGAATGCCAACCATTTATGTTGAATATGTTATAACTTTTTTCTACAAACTTGATTAAACTGGAAGCAATTAAATCAATAATTGAATATGTTTTCATAATAAATTTATTTTAGGTTGAATATGTTATAACTTTTTTCTACAAATTATAATGGCATGGTTCCAATTTTCTCTATATAAGATAGCTTTATCACTGCATTGTTTTAGACGAGTGATGAGCTATCACTTCCATTTGTAAAATTATACATATCAAGTATGGTAGTAACATGCATTTGTTTTTGCCTTGTTGGAGCATTGAAGTTCTTTTTATTTCCCTAAAATCCAATTATGATATGCACAGATAAATCAGAAAATAATTGAAATGCCCATGTCATATAGTGCAAGGTCATCCACAGATTGGCGTACCTGTTGTGTTCGGTCGCCATGAATACTTGTTGCAGGGAACCCGTTTGTGTAAAGCCAGTTCTCCAAAGCATCAGCTCCCCTCTTTGTCTCCACAAAGACCAGAGTAAGCGCTTGCTGCAAACAAGATGAAAACATGAGCTGGTGGAACAATACTCCTATTCATAAAGATTCATAATTGATCACAGTTTGAGCTGAACCTATCTTCCTTAAGAGTAGCTTTCATTAGTCTAGTGAATAAATGTTCATGATATCATAAAGTAAATTACATCAAGAACTATTGATGCATCAATACCTTCCCATGAGTACCATTCGCTTTTTGGGCATGGAGGAGATCCATGAGGTAACTTCTTTTATCCGCTTCAAGGACAAACTCTACCCTTTGAGCAATCAAGTCAGTACTTGAACCAACTCTTCCTACAGCAAGGAAGATGTAGTCCGCAAGGAAATCTGAAGCCATGCGCTGCAAGGGGGCAAAGGAGATTTGCATCAAGAAAAATATAAGATTATCTAACCAGATGACTGCATATAGATTATCGCAGTATTTTACTGTAGGCATTTGTGCCTACAATTTTTCCGATCAAATTCTACCACACAATATTTGGAAAACAATACCCCTGAAACATGTTGCATGTGATCTTTCTTAAATGTAGGTAGATAGACCACTATAGTAATAGATCTGATTTTTTTACTTTGGAATACACGTTTGATAAAAACACACAACCAACTATTGGACAGGTATAAATTGACTAAATTGCAGGACTGCCAATAAAATCGTTAAATACATCATATGCTGATGGATATTATCAAAGCAGGAAGTTTAAAGTAGAAAACATACCTGTATTTCTTTTGGAAAAGTAGCACTAAACAACATTGTCTGCCTCACACCGCGAGGGGGCATGTCCATCTGCTCAACAATTTTACGAATTTGCGGCTCGAACCCCATGTCAAGCATTCGATCAGCTTCATCAAGAGCTAAGTACTTCACCATTTGCAGTGATACTCTAGCCCTCTCCAGCAGATCCATCAACCGACCAGGAGTTGCCACAAGGATTTCAACGCCCCTTTCCAATTCCCTCAACTGCAATAACAGATAAAGCGTGTGTTCAATAGCTATGCACGTCACTATGCAAAGGATGGCTGTTTACTTTCTAGGCTAGCTTACCAAAGCTAATAATATTTGGTCATGATATGATTGCCTAAACAGATGCATGACTATTTTTCTGGGCCTACATACTTCAATCATCTATCACCATATACATAGTTAAGATAGCTCGCATATCTATGTTATGAGAGCTCCAGTCAATTTTTAGCACGGTATGGTCACAAGTCCAATGATTTGGAAAGACATTCATATAATTAATAATGTCTCTTCCACATTACAGCATGTATGCAGCCAGCAGCAAAGATCACTTGTTAGATTTATAGCACCCACAAACAAAATAGGATGGCTATCATAACCTTTCTAGAATGCCTAGAGACCTGCGAGCTTTCGTTATACATTATTGAGCAAGGTTACAATTTGGGGCTAGAGTGCACATGAATGGAAGGGGGGCTCATATGCACAACACAATATAATGATCTCTTTTAAGGTACAAAGGAAATCAGCAGACCAAACAGCAAAGCTCCAAGGTTGATTGATCCATCATTATGCGGAAATAAATAAGGCTGCGAGAAAAACCTGTTGATGTATTGGTGCTCCACCATACGCAACAACCACCCTAACACCAGTCTGGTATGCGAATTTCCTTGCTTCTTCATGAATCTGAAACAGAAAAGTATATAGTAAGAAACAATGCAACAATAAGGACAGCCCCATGCCCCACCCCAAACCAAAAAAGGAGTGGAAAACGTACTTGGACTGATAATTCGCGAGTGGGGGATAAAATCAATGCAAGAGGGTATGCAGTCCTCGATCCCCTTGGCCTCTGTGGTGGCCTAGAGCTCATAATCCCACTAATGATAGGGAAACAAAAGGCGGCTGTCTTTCCAGACCCTGTCTGAGCACAAGCCATGAGATCCCGCCCTGCAATGGAGATTGGAATGGCATACCGCTGCACTGGCGTAGGTTTCACATATTTGCACCTCCGTATGTTCTCATTCAGCGCATCACCCAAATCAATCTCTGCGAAAGTATTGACTGGCGGTGGCACATCATGGCCACTTGTTTCCACAGGAATGTCCTCATAGGCATCAAAGTTGATGCCAGTGTTTGCCGTATCAAAATCAACCTCTGTGGCTTCCTCTGCCTCGCTATTGGCAAAAGGGTTAGGTTCACGGTCTCTCCGGTCCCACCCAGGGCGGGAGTTCCAACCCCCACCCCCACCCCCACCCCCACCACGACCACCAACGCTCTGGCGTGGGCCACCTACAGCGCCAGTACCATCACCACTGGCAGGGCCAGCCCAGCGAGAGCCACCAACAATAGCTGCGTAACCAGAAGGCTGTACAGAAGCTGAGGGCTGGACAGCAGCTGGTCCTGGAGCTGGAGCTGGAGCTGCAGTTGTGGTTGGTGCCTGGCCACGGAGGTGAGGAGGCACGTATGCGCTGCGAGTGGGGCGTGAGTTCTGGTGATTAGCAACAGGGGTGGGAGCAGCACCAGTCGCGGGCGCCGATTCCTCGGCGTTCGCAACTGAATCAGCCCATGAAGATCGCATAATTTTGCACAAAACCTTTGATGAAGAAGCTACTGCTTATCGCTTGTACCTGGAGATAACAGATACATAAAGCAAGTCAATACAAACATAATGTGACATCTGGGAACAAAAAAGAAAGGTGCTTCAGCGGCAACAATACAGAATATCAACTAAATGAACAACTATCAATTTTTTTTCTTGTCAATCCTTTGGTAAGCCTTTGGTAAGTGGCAAACAAATAAGGCTAACACAACATGTAACTGCAGTCAAATTACTGGAGATTGTATGAAAACATATATGAAACAATCCAAATTATGTCTCTATAAACATCATCCAGAAATTAAAATGAAGCTTAAAATCCACAATAAAGAAGCACTAAAGCTAACAGAGGCAAAGAGCCGAGTGGGAATTATCATATTTCGTAGCATTGGCAGATTTTTGCTAAGAGCTCTGGTAGCTACAACTATGCTAAGCAAATTACTCAGTAAACAGCACCAAAACCAATCTCCAACTAGTAATGTGGACAGGGAATCATAATCTACTTACAGCACAAAGTAAATTGACTACACTTGCATTAACATTAACCAGTAGATCTCATCGGTTAGAAAACGTATTCAACACAAAAACAGTACCAACGGGCAGCAATCACACCAAACTAACGCAATCATCTCAGATACGACGATAAGAGCAGCATGCAAGCGGGGAAACCCCATATAAACTCGTGAATCGAAGCCACGAAACGAGGTACCGTCTCCCACACGATTAAGCGGGAGAACCCTACCCTAAACCGTGAATTCCTTTCCAATCCGCGGCCAATCCCCCCGCGGAAACCCTACGAATCGACCAAATCTACATAGCCCGCATGCAACCTAGCGGAAGCAGCTCCAAATCTCAAA